CAAGAAGATTATGGATTGACTGCTGTGTGTCCGAAGTCTAGTCAAGAATTTGATGCGGACATTTCTTTGGAATGACACCCTTCTTCTTAATTGCAAGCCCAACGTAATTATCTTTGACTTATTTTAGTAAGTCTGTCAATTCTAGGTAGGGTATGTGCTCTACTCAGTTTCGAAATGTATCGTTAACGGAAATTTCGGTTTTAGAAGTTTAAAAATGCATTTCGCAAATCAGTGTAGAACGATTCAAGCCCCATTCACAACAACCTGGCTGTGGCAGGAATCAAAATAGTAAAATGCACCCAAAATCCTACATGGTTTTTTTTTTCAATATATATTTGGCCGGTGCCGAACTCATTTCTAAAACGTCATTATCACGAATGCTTTTTTTCTAATTCGTTCATGAAAAATGCATAATAACATCATAGGCCTATTGGCCGCGCCAGCTCAAGTTCTTTTAGTAACATGTAGTTTGCCGGAGGTCTTTTTAGTTCTGAGAAATGTTCCACCCAAGCTCCTTAACGTTAATTGCAGGTTCATTTTGGTAATTTTGTCCTTTTTTCCCTTCTCGAATTCTAGGTCCCGTGTTCCCAGACGAAAATCCTAGCAAGCGCTCCAAGTGTAGCATGTCATAAAGACGGAATCAACACAAGGTCTGCAGCTATTAAACGGGATTTCATAATATACAGTTTCTCTCAGTGTGTCACAATGTGTGTCACCCTGGCAGCCATCTTGAAAATATATCGATTCTCACTTAAGCGCATACTGTAATATTCAAGAATAGTTTGTGAGAATTCCAATACCAGTTTACTCGGACCGATTTATCATTTGATAAAGGAAATGTTAATGGTGGAGCGTTATGCCTAAATTTTGACTTCTTTTCTGCAAAAGAATTAATCCCCCACCAAAAAATGAATTCCATGCTTCCGAGTAGAAAATAGCTTCAAAATGATAGTAATGAAATAATCAAGTAAATATTTCCAAATTTAAATCATCTTAAAACTATAATCAAGATTTAGTGTGTTTTATAGATAAGTGCTTAAAAGTTGTATTTTAACAATTTAAGTTTTTCCTCCTGAATGTACATTTCCTGTCCAAAACTTGCTTTTTATTTTGCCACTTTGTCTTTCGTTTAGATACTACATTATTTCAAACTGATAGTGTAAAACTGATAGTGTATTTAAAACACTGGCATACGCATGAGCGAAACTTTAATTAATATCACCAATTAAATAATAAAAAGTTTGTAATATTTAACAAGTGACTGTTGTGATGTGGGAAATGACATTCATCCGAGGGGCGCAAAGCACCAGAGGCGAAGCCGCATGAGGGTGCTATACGCCACATCGCAGCAGTCAATAATTGTTTATGTTACATCGTGTAAAAACTCTTACTATGCAGGATATATGAAATCAATATGGTGTATCATTTTGACCTTTTGAAATCCGTGAGCTTTCCTTCCAGAGACTGAGCGGTTGTAGTTCTCAGTCGCTAGATGCGTGGGTCAGTCACACGCGCGCGCAACGCATAGGTAATTTATATTCAACGCAGTGTATATGAGGTACATGTATGTTACAAGCAACGCAGTGTAAACAGTAAACAATTGTTGACTGCTGTGATGTGGGATATGACGTTTTGAACACCCGAGGGGCGCATAGCACCCGAGGCGAAGCAGAGAGTTATACCTCTGTCTTGGATTCTTTGGATTTTGATGTGAAAATAACGAAAACAAACAGCAGTAAACACAACAATCATGACAATCGAACGTCAACTCACATACAGCACATGTCGTGTGCTTGAAACAGCTGATCGTCTGCTACTTCGCTGCTCCCACTGATCTGTGAAAACGTGGTGAAAATAGCATGGTACCAATGATACAAGCGTTTCACCCCGTACGTACAAAGTCATTGCACACTCCCTGTAGGGATCAGTGTGCCATGACTTGACACGTGATCGTTCTAGGCCAATACAAATGCAGTATTCAAGACAGAGGTATAACAATCATTCTCGTAGACTGGACACGTGGTCGATCTAGACCACTGATATTGCAGTACCGAAGACATGTAACAGACACGTTTGTAACACCGGACGCATAACACCCAAGGCGAAGTGGGTTTTTTTTTTTTTGCCTGGAGGGGATAAAAACGATATATCCCACATCACAGCAGACAGCTGTTGACGTAGATACAATCGCTACGGTAAAACAAGAGAACCATTTATTTTGATATAAATTCTTTAGGGAATAAATATGGACTTGGTCGGTTTTAAACAACAGGGGCCTGGACGCGGATAATGTTATCTGCAGTTTTACGCATGCCTACTGGAAGATACTTTATTCACGAGTCAGCCATATTAAAATAATTGAAAGCCAGGTAAACGTTTCATTTTTGCATCTTGCGAGTGGAAATGAAAGCAATGAAATAAAATTAAAAGATCAGTACGAATTAACACCAGTCTGCACTGGTGAATAATTAAAAATATTGATTAAATGCGACTAATGTTTTGAGCCACATTTAAACATACAAACAATTAAAGTAAGGCTTGGCACGCACTCCAATCATAAAATAGTCTGGCACCATTCTTTTAAGCATTGTACACAATAAAATAGATTCTGGGAACATGGTCGAAAATGGCTTCCTCGTGAGTCAGGTCTATTTGGAGAGTCACGTGTGAGGGTTCAACCAATAAAAGGGGAAAAGGACCAGTTTTCATAGGAAACCAAATATCATGTGACACAGAAAAGTGTTTAAAACCAGTCGGTATTTTGTCAACCGTTTAAAACCTACGTGACAGGCTCTCGACCAATAGGAAGTGGTAAACTGTCTGACGTATTTATGAAAAAGCCTACACATTAATTCGTCCTATTGTGTTTTTAAATTATAAGCTTAGTTAAGTTTGAGTTATAAGCTTGGTTTAGTTTTTAAGTCTTGTATTCAGTGAGCAGTATATATGAGCTTCACCATTTGGAATTAACATGAATTAAAATCGAGTGATTTGCATTTCGCAGTGTGTTTATAACATTTACAGTTCGAAAATTGGTGATTTTATTCTATCTTGGTTGGCGACAGTTGATGCGCTTTTTGTCAATAGCTGCATTTTTTCTTTGTAGAAGATAGAAACAAGACAAGTCGCATTGTTTCTGCAAGAATGAATAAAGTGTTAATAATAAGAATCACCGTGTTCATTTGGCTTTCTTGGGTTGTTCCCTTTGATTGTTTTGCAAATTTGTAAATTATTTGCGGAGTGCCATGGCCTCGGGGTAAGGGCACTGGTTTGCAAGTAATTCTGCGGGTTGTGGGATCGAGTCCTGCCTGGGGTTATAGTGCGTGTGCCCTTGGGCAAGGCACTTTGTCACTCATTGCTTCTCCCCACCCAGGAGTAAATGGGTACCTGTAAGGGCAGAGATGGTTATTGTGATTGAATTAGCTTCCTTTCGCCTAACAGGCAGCATCGAGCTGTATACTCCCCAGGGAGCTGAGACGGTATTTGGAATGTTTAATTGGCCCAATGATTAGGGGGTAATAATAATACTGTTAGTGCTGTGATTTAGTTTACTAAGGCCAACAAAAAAAATATTCGGTCTCTGGTCAGACCAAAGTTCCGGAATTGACGCGGCGATGCGGCTTTTTTTTTTTTTTTTTTTTTTTTTTTTTTTTTTTTTTTGCTTTTTTTTCTTTTTTCTTCAAGCTTGGATTGTACAGACAAGGTGAGGTACTATTTTGCTTTTTTGGTGTCCTCATGTACATTGGTGTCCTCCATAATTAGCCTTGATGCTTTCGATCATTTGCCTTGGTGCAATTTCCCATTCCTTGGTGCTCTTTGGTAAAACAAATTCAGGAGGTGCGGAAATAGAGGGCGCTGTTGGAGCTACCGCCGAACATTTTGGAGAAAAAAAAGATCGACGCGCATGATCAAAATCGACGCGCGAGCTGACCAGAGACCGACTTATTATTTTTTTTGGGCCTAATATGAGCGTTCTTAAATGCCGATTACTATTATTATCATTATATTCTTGAATATATAAAGAGCAGCCGAAAACTCACACCAAAAAATCATCAGTTCAAAAGAGCCTATTTGATTTTTTTTTCTGGTTCAAATCAATTAACTTCCGAAAAGAAAAGATTTCAAAAAAAAGTTATTTCATGCAACGAAGGCGATACCATACATTGGAAGGGGTGTCAATATCAAGAAAGATTACGGGAGACAGTGCGGTTTCGAAATTTGGTAATTTTGTAGTTTTGTGCATAGGTTTCAAATACTGCAAAGTAGTGCCCCACTCTTTATTGATAGTTGCAAGAGACACTCACCCTACAAACTGCCCATTGGTGGGTGCACCCCAGTATATTTCCCATAGACACCAGTGATAAATGGCCGTATACTTCGAAATTCTTTTAAAATGCTCAGAACTCTCACAGGTATTCAGGCTGCACAAAAAAATGATGATCAACCTGTTATCTTTGATTTTCTTTTCAATTTTTGGTGGGTTGACCATTGCTTTTTTTGAGAAATTCTCACCCAAAGAAGACTACCCCTAGCCTAATTAATTTCATGGCTCTCAGAACTCTCTAATTATAAAATCATGAGAGCGTATAACTTAAATTTGCGAGCTCTGAGGAAGGATTTTTGGCCTGTTTAGGTTCACCCTGGTGGTAGCCTTGTTGTCATTTTGCAATAGGCTCGTTCCGCGCTTGCATTATCGTGGCGATTTTGTATTCAGGGGCAGGGAATCAGAAAATCCTGGCCAAATCTCGCTGGGCCCCCACCCCCCCCCCCCCGGCCTCCGTTCAATGTTGTCTCTCGTTGCGCGGTGTGTTTCATCAGCTGGAGAGAACAACATTGACCGGGGAGCGGGGGAGTGGGTGACCGTGGCAGGCTCAGGAAGTGTCCCAACCATTTTGGCCGGGATTGTAGTTACACTATGGGTATATCTTCCAAGTCCTGCATAATACTTTGCATACATAAGGAGGAAATCTTCCTGTTGTTTCTTTATCTATTGCAAGGGAACCAGTCTATCATTTCGTTACCAACTCAGTGACGCATGCGTATTGTGTCACTGATTATACTTGATGGCAGCAAAAACGTGAATAGGGACACTCGTCTCATCCTTAAAGAACTCCTTCAAAGCAGAATTGAGCATTGCTCTCTGGCGTACAAGGTCCCGTGGATTTCGTTTTAGTGGGAGTCGGACTGTATTCCCTCATCCATCCTCTTAACTAGAGCGGTGTGTCGATCCTGCTTGAGTCTCGTCTGTTTAGATCGAGTCATTGGTGAGTTTTCTTTGCATATTTTAGTATGTATAGAGTTTTGTAAAATTCTGGACCATGTGCTTTGTGCTCCTTCCTCCATGGTTTTACAAGAGTTGTTCTTCGTTCTTATCACTCACATGAAAAATGTGCACTTAGTTTGGTGCAGGGACATGTTTAGTGCCAAGTTTTATACGATGTGTATCCCCTGGAGTAGTCTCATCCACTTCCTATATGTTGTTTTTTGCATTCATTATGCATTTAGTTTGCATATTAGTCTATCATATCTTTGGTCCAGTCCCTGTTTTTTTTTATTTTTTGCTTAATAGCAACTTCATGTAGATTTGTTAAGTCTTAATTGACGTTTCTGTAAATAGATTGTCTTTGTTAATTTTTTTTTTTTTTGGAAATCTAGAATCTTGTTTATTGTCTCCATTATTTCAGTTCTTCGTGACTTTTCCCATTAAATATCCCGAGTTTATTTTAGGTAGGTTTTACAGTCGAACACCTTTATAACAAGGTCCTTGGACTTCACGAATTACCTTGTTATAACAGGAGTAACGGAAATGAAAGGAAAACAAAGAAAAACAAAGACTTGGGACCTAAAATTGTGCTTGTTATCAGCAGTACCTTGTATTAATAGTGCTCTTCTTATCAGGGTTCGACTTTAATCACGTGAGTGTTTAGTTAGTACGAGTTTCCCCAATATTGTGCCCAGGTTACACACATCACAATGCTTCCAGTCATTCATGATATAGAAGTGTTCGTTCCCGGATTGTCTAGTTTATCATATCTTATCAACGTTGACTATTTATTGTATAATGAGTGTGTTTACATAATCGATAATCTTTTCCGCAACGAGTTGCCGACAAGCATGGGTATAATAATGCATACATGTTTTACCATATAACAGTACCGGTATTTTTTTCTATAGAGTAAAGGTATAGAGTCATTTGTCATTTTGTGCATTTGTTTCGTTTGAAGCAACGAAAGTGCGCAAAATCTAAGAAGAGTGCTCATCAATTAACCTGAAGACGTTTTAGCTCAGTGAATGCTAAATATTCGAAGAAAACAAGATTTTAGGATGTCGATTCCAATTCAAAAGTTGCCGAGTCATGTTTGAATTGCGCCCGAAATCAGTGTCCGGGACACGTTCTCATTCAGCCGATAGCAGCTACACGATGTCACACACTGAACCGACGAATTGTATGCGTCGTGTCAACACTAGCGCTTACCCGTTTACGGCTTCGCCGATTTAAAAACGAACTGGTGCTAAATTAAATTTCCAACAAAAATGGGTCTTTAGACGCATCTTTGGAAACGACATTCTTTTACTGTTTTCTTCAAAATGACAGCATGTCAGAACGAACAGTTTCACAATGAGTTTAATGCCGTTACTATCTGTAACCCTAAAAGGACCGGGGGCGGAACCGCCCCCCTCCTTCAACTTTTCCGCCATATCCTTGAATTTTCTTTTCGCGACCCGAGCTGTTCTAACTTTTTAGCCTCGAGCCTTGCGCATCTTTTGATACCAAAAAAACACCCATGAAATTCTCCAAAACATAAAATTCTCCAAATTCGAAAAAAAAATCGGCGCTACGCCCCGTGAAAACTGAATTTCCCCACATACGTAGTGTACACAGAGCAGATTTACCATTCGTTTATATGAATAATTAATTAGGTATAATGCCCAAACCCTTTGACCTATAGTCATGAAGTTTCTTGGGTATGTCCATGAATAGTAGTTCTATGCATGAACCGAGTTTCATAGTTTTTCGTCACTCGATGGAATCCGCCACCCCCCCCCCCCGCCACCGGCTGAAATATAGTCAAATATAGAGAAAACTTTCTCTTTGGTCAAAATAACCCGGCCCTTTTAGGGTTAAACCAAGTGTGCTTTTCTACAATATTTTCGTCAGTTACTTTTTGGATAGCTGCAAATGCTACTCTCTACCTTTAACAGGAGCAGAGTATAGCCGATTGGGTTCAGATAAGCATTGTGTTTCGGAAGAGTCAACAGTACTTATGTGCATAATTGTGTATTCGACTATGACACATGATATAAACAGGGTGACCCCAGAAAATGCAACCCTAAAACATTTGTCTTTTTAAAAAAAATAAAGGGATAAGTTGAATTTTATTTTTTGGGTATCAGATTAAAGCTGAGAACTTTTTCTTTCAAATACTGAAAACTTATGAAAATAGCACTTTGTTTGGGTTGCTGAGCAAATACCAATTATGTGAAAGTAGTAATTTTTTATCCTGTTCAAAAAAAATGCCACAGTAATGGATTTTCACTGCACCTATTTGTGCATGTCGTAACAACCAACAAGGCCAATAATATGACAAGAGTACAAATGAATTTGATGGAAATGCCTTTAATTTACACCTGAACAGGTATCTCATCCTTTTTAGTCCTACTTCAAACCCTTTCTGCATCATGGCAAATGTGTCAGAATACTTAAGAAATTGTTCAAATGAAGAGTACTTGCACAGTAGGATTACAGTCAATTGTTTTACTGTTTGACGTTCTTGTACTTGTGTACAGAATGCAAAATGACAAGTTTTACATAGTCATTTGGTCACTGGCAAAGTACAACCGCTCCTTCGTTCCTGCAATGGTCCCAGTGTGGAACAGCCTGCCGGACGCAAGTTGTTGGTCATCCTACGATAACAGGAACTAAGGCCTTCTGCTGAAGGACACATAAATGTGTTCAAAGAATTTGTACTTCTTACAATGTATATAGGCCTATAATTATACTGCACTTTGTTATCCTTCTTTTGGCTCCTTTTGATACAAATGGGCACAGTGTTTTTCAGTGCTTATCTGGAACCAAAAAATGGCAATAAACTGTTTTTGTTAACAGACATGAGCGAATCGTGTTTAATCCTTTTGGACCCTTGGGTCAATATGGGAATTTGTGGGCAATGAGATTCAATAGCGTGATGCAATATCTTATAAAATGTAACCTATGTGGTGATGGCTATCTTGTAATCTATTTGCTTTCACAACAATACCTGATATCAGTTTCAATAACCATTGTGTTGCTTTTACATGAAGATGCATTGATGGGGGAAAGAAAAATCTCGTCAGAAGCTATCTGCTTTGAAATGTTTTAGCAAGAATCATGATGAGTACATCGCCTGTAAAGTTGTTCTAAAGTCACATTACATGTACCATGTTCGGTCAGTCTACGAAACAATAGGTGAAATCATGGCGACGGCATCCACATTGCAAGCTAGGCGTCAGGTTACGAGAGTGCCCAAGCAAAGCGAATGCGGATGGGGAATTGTGGTGGTCATTGCTGCCCACGTCGGCATGGCATCGAGTGGTATCCTGCGATGCAGTGGGATCCTGTATCTTCCCTGGATGAATGAGTTCGACTTGAGTGCCAAGGAGACGGCGGTCATTCAAAGTTTCATGTCATCCCCAGCAGGGTTCGCAGGTAATCATCATTGAGCCGGTATGAACGCAGACATAAAATCCCCCACATTTTATGTCTTGGATTGTTTATTTACCCTATTTCAAAGGTCTGGTTGAAAGGAAACCGTTCCCGAAAACAGACGGAAAAACAGGTTGTTAAATTTACCATCGGACGCACGGACATTTTGTGGCATACGCATACGTATTTCCAACCGTGTCCATTCAATGTTCAAGGCCCTGCGCTACACTTTGTGTGTCACATTATAAACACAGCACAAATACACTAGTATAGGTCCACATAATGCGATGCACTGTGCGGCAGAATTCACAACTATCACTCAACAGCTCGATTTTCAAGGAGTCAACATTTTGACCCCCGAAATTCCTTCTCGCATGTTTCTTAAAGTACCATTTTTTTAAAGGATGGTTGTATGGACGTTTATACCCTACTTTTAAATGTTCTTTCCAATAAACAGCATTTCGTTTAAAACGCATTCTGTAGCCTAATTGGGCGCATTCTAGTACGTAGTGTCCATTTATATCAGGTGCGTTTGAGTAGCTCACCCGGATCGACTATGGGAAAGGCAGACGGGTTAGCCACGACAGCCGGGCTAATCGAACGCTAAAACCGACCGTGGGCCATCATGATCCTCACGTGATGTCCTGTAGCCGGAGCCATAGCCAAAACGCATGTTTCGTGCTGGGTCTTCGTTTGCGATCTACTGCTTTTCAGTCAGTTCCATAACTTAAAATAATTGGGCTGGAATTAGAGCCTCCGTAATGTCGCAATGAACTTAATAATTAATCACCTTTAGACTTAAAATAACGTTGATTTTGGGTCCACTTGACATTTCCGCTGCCCGACCGCCATATTTGTCCATTTCTAGGGATGAACAACGCATGCGTGTGACGTATTTCCACCAGTGACTCTGCTCACGAGCAGGGCCTGTGGTGGCTGACCCGGATAAGCCTTGAGAATGACGTCACAGCTAAAGAAAACGGCACGGGCTGACCCGTGTCGACCCGGGTGAGCTAAACGAACGCACTCAAAGTCTGATACCGGCTAGCGCGTGGATTGTCATCAGATTGACCAAATTGAGTGCTGCGTTAATTAGCTTACAGGAGAATTAGGCCAATCAAAGTAAAGGGAGGCAGTACAGCCAATTCAAGCAGGACACACGAACTGTTTTGAGGAATTCTCCACCTATTGTTGAGACACAGAGACTTTCCAGCAACATGGGACTGTTCCAACTATAGTGAGGACCACTGCCACAGGTTGGGCGTAAGCATCAGCCTGGTTGTGTTCTGTATGCGTTATCCAGTCAGTAAAATGATCAGTATAATGTGCCAGGTATAGGATACACGCCACATTTAGCAAGTTCTCGTATCAAGCGTCTCGTAGTTTATATCAAGGGTCAGGTCACATGAAAACTACAAAACGTCTTACATTTACGGACAAACCGTCAAAAAAAACCCATGAATTTACAGTTTTCTTGTCCTTGTTTACAATGTGTACGTTTTTCGTATCGAAGTATCGAATTACTCAAAGTATCGAATTATTCCAAGTATCGAATTATTCGAAGTATCGAATTTTGAGCCGTGTAAGGCAATAAAAGGAGAGACTTTTGGGACGCTTGGTGGCAGCAAAAACAACGGTCATTTTCTATTCTTTGCGCCATTTTGGACATGCGCGCGCACATGCATGATGAACTTAAACATGGCGCAAATGCAAGAGACTGTGTGCTTGCCGCCATAAAGCATCACAAGAGTCTCCTATTGGTACACGCTATCTCATTCTCTCATTTTAGTTCTCATTGGAGGAGTTCTAAGCAACCGCTTCGGTTGTAGATTTACGGGTATACTAGGAGGGTTCTTAATGTGGCTTGGTCTCTTCTGTACCTATTGGGTCAACGACATAGTTCAGCTCTACGCAACTGCTGCCATAATAGGTAATAATTATCAATTCACTCACGGCTCGGTTTAATACTGTGTCCCTTATTGAATGCATACTAGAATCATTTGCATCTATCCCAAAAGTATAACCTTACCGAATATTATCAATAAGATTACTTGGAACAAAGATCCCACTGGTACTAAACACCACGTGGGATTATTGATCTGGAAATCGAGAATTAATGTCGGAGATTTCCATAAATCAGTTGCCTGACTATATTAAAGAGTGCTACATTGCACAAAAATCGAGTTTCAAGATCTAAAGGTTGTGGATGTTTTTTCTTCTTCAATGTTTTACTCGAAAAGTGGAATATCCACTGAGCTGAAACTTTATCAGGTTATGTTTTTCAACATTCCTCTTTTGGACTTTGAGTGGTGTTTTATTGGTAACGAACAAAATGCATCAACGCAAAATGATCCTCTTTTATGCCTTGAACTTGATTTTTTCGGTATCAATGGTTGTGCTCTGTTCTCCGTATATACAAGCATTACATTCACTGTGTGGACTTCCGAACAAATTAAAGATGTCCACATAAACCAGTTTTCAGATACGTTGTGCGGACTTGCCCATGTCCAAACAAGGTTTCCACCTCGCCGGAAAACATGTTTGGAGGCATTGTGGGGTTAGGTTTATCTGTCGCAAAATGAAGAGAAACACTCAAGTAAATCAATTGGGTTGAAAGAGTTTTCACAGTGTGAGTAAAATGATTTTTTTTCCACAGGTTTTTCTTACAAACTACCCCAAAACAAAGGAATGTCCACACTAAGTATAAACGTAAACATGACTTGTGTGTGTCAGTTTGTTTCTGTATTCAACAGGAGACGTAGAACAATAAAGGACAATAATGTATGTATGTGCTTCGATTTGTAATAAGACGGCGTTTTGGGCTTGGGAAAAAAAAGTACCGGTAGTAGATGTAATGGAATTCCAACCTATGAGAAAAGAAAAGTGAAAGCCGAAATAATTATGTATCTTTGTCAGATAATGTATCATTCATAGAATCAACACCGAATTCCTTTAATTCTTGGTTCTTCTTATAGGTATTGGAATGGGCATTCTCGTCAACGCTGCAAGCGTAATTATCACCTTTTATTTCATAAAGAGATTCAATGTGGCCAACGCAGTTACCTACGCGGGACGCGGGACGGGGATGATAGCTATCCCTCCGCTTTTCCAACTTTTGCTGGACAGCTACGGGTGGAGGGGTGCTTTTTTAGTCACATCCGCAATCATGGCAAACGTCATACTCTGTGGCGTGCTTTTCCGACCTCGTCAATTCGGCCTGGCACTGAACACAACCGAGTCTACAACAAGTTCACAAGAGGAACTGAGACAGCAGCCCTCAGGTGAAAAAGACAACGGTACTGATGGTGACGATTATACCGATGGAAGAACTGGTGAAGTTACAGATGAACCCGATACTTCGACCGCGGTACCGGTACGATATGTCGAAACGAGTACTGGCGATAAAACTGAGTATATTTCACTTCAATACTCTAACCGATCCGGACGAGTGGTGAAACTTCTTAAAGGATTGTCGGGCGAAATCGGGCTGAATATCATGAGGAAAAGCTTCCGTTTTTCCCTGAGCTGTGCCATACAGTTGTTGTATTGCTGTGGCTTTGTGGCATTTCCAATGTTCCTCATCCCACGTGCACAGACCATTGGTGTGGCGCCCTCTAGTGCCGCATCCTTGATGAGCATCCTGGGCATAGGGAGCCTGATTGGTTCTCTAGGAAACGCACTGATGATCGGCTGGAGAATCTCAGCTGAGCACGTGATAGCTATTTGTGCGGGCCTAGCGGGAATCGCGTGCCTTCTGGTTACTGCAGACGGCTATGCCTATCTGGCAGTGGCTTCATTCATTTACGGCTTCGCCTCCGGAGCTTTCTTCGCCATTTCCATCGTCCTCTGCCGCAGCTTTGTTGGGGTGCAGCACTTCGCCCTAGGAGTCGGGTTGATGAACGTTTTCATTGGCACCGGCTACCTCATAGGGCCGGTAATAGCAGGTAATGACAATAAGGCTTTATGGTGTGTACTTTATTTATGTTTAAATAGGACATTCTGTGATTTTTTTTTCCGAATTATTTTCCGAGGGCAAATGCAAACAAATCACTCCTATGAAATCGGGTCTTTGAACTCTAACCCTCACACGTGACCTGTCATTGTCCAAATAATCTTCACTTAGGCATGCGCAATACGAAGGCTGGTTCGAATCTAATACAGGTATACCGCAACCAAACCATTTACTAAAGGCATAAAGTATCACTTGCTTTACATGCATTTTATTTGTTTCCAATGATAACACGACTCGAAATCCAAAGACGAATAGTAAAAACATAACCTGTTGACGTTTCAACTCGATGGATGCAACACCTTTTGAGAAAACAATGGAAAACCATGCACAACCTTTTGATCACAAAACACTTGACCGATCAGTGGAAATCCCCAACATATATCTTGCTTTCTTCTAAATGACAGCAAGCCAGATGAAATAATTTCACGATGTATTTAGTACCAGTACGATCTTAATCCAAGAAAGATTTTTAAAATATTGATTCGGTAGGTTTTTTGGGGGGATAAATGCAAATGATTGATACAGTAAATGCTGCTTGTCTTCACAGGATGGATCTTTGATGCTACACGGAGCTATGTTGCTGTGTTCTACATGTTGACTGGAGTACACTTCACTTGCGCATTAAAGTGTCTACTCTTACCTCTACTGAAACGCATAGAACCTGGATTAGACCCCAAAGTATCGGATGAATAAAGTATGCATATGAATAGGGCCAGCTCAATTGACCCTACGATTGTATACGGACACGACATTTTGAAATGGTTTAATTTGGTCTACTATATTCATATTTGTTTTCCAATTCTCGGTTTTGATTGGTGATCTGAATTTAACGCATATTCATAAAATATCACAGTTGACTCTTGCGTTCCTTTGACGAGAAAATGCTTTGAAATTATAGCGCGTTTATGTTTTATTAAGCAAAGTACTTTTGATAAAACTACGGCATCGTCTAAATCTGCAAACCGAATGGAGGCCGAAATTACTAGTCGTACCTGATGTGTTCAACAATAAACCAGAATTGAAGATGAACCTGTGTTCGTGTCTTTCCCGGCCTATCTTGACAAACAAACCTCTGTGCTTGGGCAACTTCTCAGTATCCTGCTTTAACTGAGGCTCTGTATGTGTTTGCTTATACTCTAGACACCTAATATTGTGTCAACTGCGGCAAAGGTGCCATTAGGTTTGGGTCTTTGGCCAATAAGGTTGAACTTTTGGCGGAGCTCACTTTTTTTCTAACATGTTTTCTGAACGGAAGCGTCTGGTTTGCTGATTTCGCACACAGTTACTTTACACATCACGTTTACTTTCCACATTTCACATTAACATGCTGAAATTAACTTTAAATAATAAGAGTGGGAGTTTTCTACCATACCTAACTAACAAAAGAAAAGACACGAACACAGGTTCATCTTTAATTCTGGTTAATTGTTAAACACATCTGGGGTGACTGTTAACCAAGGGAAGGTGAGAAAAACCTTCTGACTCCCAGCTCTTACCTAACAGTACACAAAAGTTCCTTGAATTTGAAAAGCCACCCTGGTATTAACAAAAGACCTTTTTGGTGAAACTCCCACTAAGGACATGTACAGTGGAAATTCAGTGAAGTAGATTCATGGCCTGATCAACTAATCTGTAGGGGATAAATACACAATCTTTTTAATTTGAGTGATAGAATCATTACATTCAAGGGAATGTACAACTTTTGTCAGAAATAAATGGATTTGGAGGATTAGAATGTAGCAAATATTATCAAAACTGACTTGTTTAACGTTTTGGGCTTGTAGATGCTGGGAAAACCAAGAATACCAATCAGGGTACACACCGGTAAATCGATCCGCCAAGCTCATGAATAAAAGTTATACCCTCAAAATATTCTATATTAGAGAGTTCTGAGCGCCGTAAAATTGGGGAATTGAAGAGATATGGTAGTGAACCTCTGGCCCGGACTTGGTGCTTCCAATTCTGAGCATTTTGGATGCTTTTGGGCTCGAAAGTGGCGCTATTTTGCCATGTTGTGGAGGGATCGTTTTTCAAGATAGCTACTTTTCCGCTTTGGGGAAAATAGGGGTCGTCTTCTTTGCGTGAAAATATCTCGAAAAGTCAATGGTCAACCCACCATAAATTGAAAAGAAAATGAAAGATGACACATTGATCATCATTTTTCTGTGCAGCTTGAATACCTGTGAGAGTTTTGAGTATTTTTAAAAGAATTTTGAAGTACGGGCATTTAGCACTAGTGTCTATGGGAGTTTATTTGCAGGTATGCACCCATCATGTCCTTGTAGTCTGGTTCCCTGACCCCAATCAAGATGAAACGGAGCAACTTGTTGACTTTGGGAAATTGTAAGGTCCGAGAATCAGTCTAGCAGGCTTGTACCCCTTCACAGGCGTGTATGCGGAATAACTAAACATGAAAATAAACATGAAAACTAAGGAGCAGTTTTTGAAAATAAGCCAATTTTCTCCAACGCTGGTCGGCCGACCAGCGTTGGAAAAATACAATTTTTCTTGAAAATGTCAGCACACCAGGAGTTACAATTTTACAGGATGCTTTAGACTATCATTCCCCAACAAACTAGTAAGGTATTTTGCGATAATTTTATCATTTCGTTTTTTTTGATGTTGGCAAATGTTGTATCTTCGGGGGGGGGGTGTCACATTTAAAAAAATTCTACTCACAGTTTCCAAGTGTGTTTTTTTTTGTGTGTGCAAAACGTAAGTTTTCGTTCATTCATGGAGGTGGGAAAACGTCCATATGTTTAATTTTTATGATGGGTATTCATCAGGCCTCAGGTCATAGAAAAAATGATCAGTGGTGGACACCAGTTTTTTTATGATCTTTTTATGAAAATAAACATAATTACTAGGGAAAAGAGTAGCAAATAACGTGAAATGTTCACATGCAGTTACTATTAAATAACATGTACTGCATCCCCATGTTATTTTTATGGAGCGAGCCACATATTCTTTTTAAAAATATTTGTTTCCAATTCGTCACTTTCTTTTGACTCGCCCTGTAGATAAGCTGGTTCAATATTGTTGTTTCTGAGGGATTAGTTTTATAACCCACCATGACTACTAAATTGCAGCACAGTACGTATCTCACTTTCAATCCATATTTATGGGAACGCATTTCTGAAATCAATTTCATAAAAGAAGCACTTGGATTTGTTCACAAGGTTATTGATGATCTCCGCATTATACGTCTCTTACAGAAATATGAACTATGACCAAGGTTCACGATGCATATACAATTGCCATAGTCACAAAGCATAATAAACGGGCACCATTCCCCATAGCGTACACGCATTACACTGAGTGTATCATGCGCTATGCAATGCACTTCAATTCAGGCCGTTCGTCCCGGAAGCTACACGCTAGTGCAGAACAAGCACTGAAAGAAATGAAGTCGGTGACAGAAAGGTATGTGCATTTCCTAATTTTGTCCGTTTCCCCGGGAAGCGTGTTACAACTGATAATGTAATAACCAACTGATAATGTATCACCAACCGATAGTGTCACACAAATTGACCGATACTGTATCACTTACCGACAATGTAACACAAATTGACTGATAGTGTAGTAAAAATGTACTACGCTCAGTCGATTGTTGTTGCATTATCGGTCTTAACCAATAATGTAACAAAAATTGACCGATAGTGTAGTAACATTTACTACACTATCGGTCAATTTCTGTTACATTATCGGTTAGTGATACAGTATCGGTCAATTTGTGTGACATTATCGTTGGTGATACATTATCAGTTGTTACTACATTATCAGTTGTAACAAAGCGGATGGATGCATGATGAAACATCATTAATTTTGAGCTGAATGTAAATTGACAGGAAATGGCACGCAGACTAATGTTTCCATGCGCTACGCATGTAGAAAATACATAGGCCTACATAAAATATTTATTAATATTTAGGGTTCGGGTCGGTCCATTAACGGCGGCCATTCCCCAACCAGGTCATTACCATGCAGTGAAGACCGGGTCCTCACAAGGTTATTCCCATAAAAAATACCTATTTTAACGAAATAAACTCTTAAAATACTCCATATTTTGTGACTTTTCCCCCGGAGATATCCCCAAACTTTTTGCGTTTATGTTCAGGGGCCATATTTTAGCTGAGGCATGGTACTTACAGTGCTCTTCTTATCAGGGTCCGACGGTAAACCTTCTACTGAGTTTTCTCTATTTATGTTTCATGTTTTTGTTGTCCCGCTCTAGATACAGTACTACTGTTGGACAATGCTGATGACATCCTTGATCCGTCATCATAAAAATCCCCTTGTAATACCGACCTCTTATCGATATCCCACCAGTGTGTGAAATTCCATGGAGGTCAAACTCGAGCCTCTGCAGGTCCACGAATCTTTGGAGCTTCTTAAGAAGATGTTTAGTCATGCTAAGGGGCTTTCTGGGACGGTCTCGGTCGGGGGAGAGGCGTTACAGGACGAAGAATCTCTGGTTGAAATCGCCAAGCTGTGTGGCAATAACCCCCAAGTCCTGCGTGCCGTGGCGAGCCGCCTGAGCTGCGGTTTCAGCCCCAGAAGTCAAGTTGAGTTCTTGAAGGGTCCAGGAGCTCAATGGGTGTTGGATCCCGGCTCCATGGGAGCTAGTCAAGCCGTACAAGACGAGAGGGAGGATTTCGAAGATCAAACAGTGGTGCTTAACTCGCTAGGCGCCATGTACGAGCAGCTCCCTCTACCTCTGAAGGAATCTTTGCTGAAACTGTCAGTCTTCCCAAGTTCCTTCAGTCTGAGTCAAGGGGCTAAGATCTTAGGAAAGGAACAACCAGACGCAGCTAAGTTCGACTTGGAAGACTTGAAAAGATGGAGTCTCCTAGACCGGGATGATTACCCCATCCTAGACACTGGACTAAGCGATAACGAACCTTACTACTTCATGCACCCGCTGGTGCGGTCAGTTTGCCTTAGCAAAAAAGGATCCAGTGAGATATACAAGGCAGCATATGAAGACGCGCTCCGTAGATTCTCAGCCTACATAGTAGACCTTCTTAAAGATCTGACACAGTTGGGCCACACGGATTTTGCCAGCGCACTGGCCAGATTTGAATCCGACAAGACCAATATCTTGCACTATTTGGAGCTCGGGATGGGTAACAAGTTTGGTTGTCAGGTTATTACCGAACAGAAGAACACTGCCTCTGCCGTCCCACTCCAGAAGACGGAGGAGGGATTGTTCAGCATTTTTGGGGCTTTTCTTGATCCCTCCCAGAGGTTAGAATATTACAAAAATATGAGTATGCTGAGCAGCAGGGAACAAGAAGCCTGGGCTTACTTGCGAGGATGGATGGCCGACGAGCTCCACATGAGAGCAGAATATGAAGAAGCCTGGAAGACGGTCGAAGAACCGCTTCAACTGTTGAAAGCCAGAGCCAGCGATCCCGCCATCGGCCGAACACATGACCTGGAGAGAGCTGAAGCTCAGCTGCTATACGTGAAGGGCCGCATCCTGGTGGCTCGGCGCAAGTACAAAGACGGTATTGCTGTCCTTGAGCAAGCCTTGAAAATTCAAGAGCGTCTCCTTGGGAATCACTCGCTCACGGCTCGCTGCCTGAACGTGCTGGGTCATGCTTACTTCAACGAGGCAGAAGATGACCGCCTCTGTAGCGGCGTGACAGAAGCCCACGAGTACCATCTGAAAGCCTGGGAGATGCTAGTTAAAATCACCAACGGCAAACCAGAGAGGCACTTCGATGCACCCATGTACTTGCTTAACATCGGCACCACTTTTCATCAGATGGGAAAGAGATTCAAAAGTAGTAACAAGAAGAAGGCTCACGAGTACTTTAACCTTGCCATCAAGAACTACCGGAAGGCATTCGATCTGGAGAGAGCCTTGAAATTGTCCCACTCTCCCAACACTCCGTTCGTCCTCAAGAACATGGCCATGAGCTACTGTGAAATGGAGGTGGGTGTTCTATTACAAGACAATATACTTCACAATATTATTGCTCAATTTAATAAGAACGTGTACATGAATGTTTAACGCTAAACATTAATTAACAATATTGGAAAACGGATCAGAGGGTTTTGTTGCCGCTATCACGTGTTATATAGTAACGTTACAAGATGTAGTCATATGCTTTTTGTATCAAGTTCAAGCTCCGCTTTTATCATTAAATTTCGGTAAGAGAATGGTTCTGAAGAGAACCAGAGGTATAAACTCGACGTTCCGGTCAGTATGCTCTGACCGTCTTCAGGAGAGACGGTCAGAGCATACTGACCGGAACGTCGAGTTTATACCTCTGGTTCTCTTCAGAACCATTCTCTTAGTTGAGAAATTATTCGCACATGGTGTTTCCGCAAACCTTTCATTGTTTAGTATCTCCACCATGCAAAGCCTCAAATCTTACTTACATTTCGGTAATTAGACCTCGGTCGAGTTACCACTAGATAAGAATTCCAAATAAGGGTTTTAAGCAGACGAGATCTACCCATTTTTATAGATCAGTTTAAAACAAAATCTATACGCAAATTATTTGTGAAAAGGTGTATTCCCCCTTTTTTTCTTTAAAGGAATACGAAAAAGCTCTAGCGTTGGCAACAGATGCCGTTACGATCAGAGAGGAGACCATAGGCGTGCATCCTACCACGGCTCGCAACCTTGTCTTCATTGGATCCTTGTACGACAGTTTAGGGGACGAATACAAGAAATCAAAGAAACCTGAAGGTAACTTGAGTTTTTAATTGGAGCAATGAAAACGATCTTAGTTTGAAATGGGTACTTAGGTTAACCGCTACCCGTTTGATTGGGCACATAATTTACCGTTTTGAGAACACACATTTTCTTAGCGTGAAAATCTTTTGCGACGCTAAATAAAACCATCTGAAATGTTAGATTGTTTTTAGCATCCATGTCAATAACCTATAACATGCAAGTTAAGTGGACGTGAACAAACTTCAAACCATCGGACGATTTGCTTGATTCAGGTGAAAGAAGTCATTCCAGGTAAAATCAACAAATCTACTGATCTGTATGCACAGTTTTTCGGTAAACCATAAATCTTGGGGGATTCAAAGCATCCTCCTCTGTTATGAACGCCTCTTTGTTTGAGCACTAGTTCTGCTACAAACTTCGCGGGCTGAACCTTAAAATTTCATTTAAACTGGGGTACAAACTAATTTTGTACTGCATACGAGCAAATGTTGTTCAAACTAATTCTATCTTCGTCTCACAGACAAACCCAAATCTCAGGAGAACTACAAACTAGCCCTGGAATACTACAACAGGGCCTTCCGGATGGAGGTCAAACTCGGGCCGTCGAACCACAGCATCGAGTACGACGACCTGAAGAAAGATCTGCAGGACGTACTGGGGAAACTGCACATGAACAAAGAGTTGGATAAGTACCGGAGGATGTTCAAGGTACGTGCATTTGTGGCATGGACATTGACATGCGACGTTTACTGTCAGATGAGGGTAGTTGTAAGCGAAACGATTTTGAGAAACAAAAGGCTCCGCTTGTCAGTGGCAATAAGTGGCATCAACCCTTGCCATTTACACTGGCAAGGACAGTTGTACATTGCAACTGCAGTGGCGGCAAATTTTGAGACCTTTTGAAAACTTGAAAATGCTCAGAAAAGGTTTAACAACCTTGAACCGTATTGTTGCCCGTACTTGTTTTGGTTGAAGTAACGTACTAAATAAGCCACTTGCGACTATGTCGGTGGCCATAAATGAAAGGGCCCCCCTCAAAGCAGTGACAATAATAATGGAGGAGGGCCTGCTCCAGAAGTGTATGGCGAGGAAAAAACAAAAACAAAACAAAACACGCAGCATCCAATTTATGTGGCCCTTTGCGAATTTTGAATCGACTAAATATTGTAGAATGCTCACTGGTTTACGAAGTATCTTGCGTTGTTATTTTGCAAATTCTGTCAGGTCGTTTATTACCTAGCAGTTATTTGCAAATGTAGATATATTAAATCTCCTGCTATTTAGCAGTCACAGACAGTCAAAATTCACTCCGGATTCCCCTGCTATTTTAACAAAGGCTCGTCACTATAAACAGTCAGATCGTTCTGTCAAGCAAGCACTATGACTAGTCAAACTGGGTAAGCAGGGAAAGCATGTAAGTTGTGTTCACAGCTGTTTTATCAATCCACCCCAGTCAAAGCATAGCTGTATCAAGGTACTTTGCTTTACTGTATCAATCCTGCTTCATGTGGGCTGGGAATTCTAAACTGATGAAAAAGTCACTTAATCGATTGGAACTGCAAAGACTACTTGGCACAGAATGTATGTTTGCATAGGAGGGTTAAAGGAATTAAATGACGTATCACTTTACCTTCTTATTAGGCGGCGGACAAGGGAACTCCAGACTTAGGAGATTTGAGCATGGACTTGAGGTCCGTATCGGGACAGGCCTCTCCGTCAAGAAAACGGTCTCCAGACAGAATGGACGCAGAGGACGGGCACACGGGGACCAGCGATGATGACGAGATGGCGGGACCAAGCAGACAACGGGCACCAGGTAAGAAGGCAGGTCCAAATCTAAAACAAAAACAAAGACAAGTCAGTTTTATATTATTTGAAGTTGAAAGCTTGCAATGATCCCTGCTTATTTATTAAAGCGTTTATTTTCGTTTATGTGTCGAAAATACATGCCTATCAGTGTATCTTTTGCAGCCCTTTAAAACAAATTTATTAACATATTTCCCAAAGGTTGAATTTGGTTGATTTGTTTTGGAGATAGTTGGAGTCCCAATAAACACTCTGCCATCAAAATGTGCTTCTTAATTGAAATGTCAGAGTCCTCATCGGTTCTTAACGTACTAAACAGAGAATGCTCAACATCATGGAAAAAAAGATTCGGTAATTTGTCGGGTGATCATTCAGAATGCAAGAAGATTATGGATTGACTGCTGTGTGTCCGAAGTCTAGTCAAGAATTTGATGCGGACATTTCTTTGGAATGAAACCCTTCTTCTTAATTGCAAGCCCAACGTAATTATCTTTGACTTATTTTAGTAAGTCTGTCAATTATAGGTAGGGTATGTGCCCTACTTAGTTTCGAAATGTATCGTTAACGGAAATTTCGGTTTTAGAAGTTTAAAAATGCATTTCGCAAATCAGTGTAGAACGACTCAAGCCCCATTCACAAACACATGGGAACCTGGCAGTGGCAGGAATCAAAATAGTAAAATGCATCCAAAATCCTTCGTGTGTTTTTTTTTCAATATATATTTGGCCGGTGCCGAACTCATTTCTAAAACGTCATTATCACGGATGCTTTTTTTTCTAATTCGTTCATGACAAATGCATAATAAGATCATAGGCCTATTGACCGCGCCAGCTTAAGTTCTTTTAGTAAAATGTAGTTTGCTGTAGGTCTTTTTAGTTCTGAGAAATGTTCCACCCAAGCTCCTTTACGTTAATTGCAGGTTCATTTTGGTAATTTTGTCTTTTTTTCCCTTCTTGAATTCTAGGTCCCGTGTTCCCTGACGAAAATCGTAGAAAGCGCTCCAAGTGTAGCATATCATAAAGACGGAATCAAGACAAGGTCTGCAGCTATTAAACGGGATTTCATAATATACAGTTTCTCTCAGTGTGTCACAATGTGTGTGTCACCCTCAGTGGAGTAGCCAGGAATTTTTCAGTGGGGGGGGGGGGGGGGGGGGGCGGGGCGCTGGGGGGGGGAGGGCGCTGGGGGGGGGGAGCTGGAACATTTCATGGGGGGCGTCATGTAGGGCGTCAATCGCTTCTCAAAAGTGGGGGGGGGGTATACCTTGATCAGAACTGATGCGAGCGCGAAGCCCTTACGGCGTGGGGTTTCGGGGCCCGCTTAAGGGCCCCGAAAAAAATTGGATTCTACATGTTCTGTAGTGTGATCTGAAACAATTTCTTACCACTTTCCTCCATGCTTTAACTAATATTCTCTTAGCAAGAGATAAGTATTTGAACATCATTTTCGAGGTTGGAGTCATTGAATCAGCTATCGGTATTCTGAGCTATAGGCGTGGGGTTCGGGGCCCGCTTAAGAGCCCCTGAAAAATTGGATTCTCGATGCTCTGTGGTGTGATCTGAGGCAAATTCTTACCACTTTAACAAATAAATTATCTTAGCACAAAAGATAATAATTTAAACATGACTTTCGAGGTTTTCTCAGCTAAAGGCATAGGACATTTTTTTGGACATTGTTTTCGAGGATGGAGTCATTGAATCAGCTACCAGAATTCTGAGCTATAGGCGTGGGGTTCGGGGCCCGCTTAAGGGCCCCAAAAAAATTTGGATTCTAAATGCTCTGTGGTGCTATCTGAGGCAATTTCTGACCACTTTTACCAATATTTTCTAAGCAAAAGATACATGTACGTTCTGTGTTTTTATGTTGTAGTGTGGTTGTTGTTGTCTTGTCTTGTCTTGTCTTGTTTGTTTGTTTGTTTTTTGTTTTGTTTCGTCTTGTCTTGTCTTGTTTTGTTTCGTTTCGTCTTGTCTTGTCTTGTTTTGTTTCGTTTTGTCTTGTCTTGTCTTGTTTTGTTTCGTTTTGTCTTGTCTTGTCTCTTGTCTTGACTTGTTTTGTTACATTTTGTTAAGTCTTATCCTGTCTTGTTTTGTTTCTTTGTTTGTTGGGGTTGTTTGTTTGTTTGTTAGTTTTGTTCTGGCTTGTTTGTCTGTTTTTCCACAGTCTTGTATAATCTGCAGTTGTTAGGTTTTTATGCCAGCTATTCTTGCCTTTGAGAAAACTGTTGTAACTGTAATCTTTTAAATCTAATTATCTTTTTAAGTATTATTTTTAAGTATTTATTTTTCATTGAATTTTATACCTAATTTTTAATATATTTTGTATGTTACATGTACCATTCAAGTTAGGATTGACAGGCTTTCGAGTCACAGTGTTTTATTATACTTTTGTCAATCCTGGCCAGCTTGGATTGGATTGTTTTTGTTTAGTTTTTTGTTTACTTTTGTGAATTGCTTGTTGTACATTGTAATTTGGCCGAATAAATAATAATAATAATAATAATAATAGGGCCCTGTAAATGAGACACGAGTTCAAAAATCGGGGGGGGGGAACATTTGATATTGTGTCTCCCACCCTTCAAAAAGTGTGTGTGTGGGGGGGGGGGGGGGGACCAGTCCCCCTGTCCCCCAGGATTGACGCCCATGGCGTCACGTAGATCAATGATAATTTTTTTAGAAACTCAAAATCTCGGGAGGGGGGGGGGAGAGGCTGTCGCTTATTGGTCAATCATTATTATTTAGCTTATATGAACGGAGGAAAAAGTTTGTGCGTGGCCGATTTGCGTGATATCGCTGACTGAAACTGTGTGACCCACGGACCACCTGTCTATAATACGTGTTCCGTGGTGTAAGCGAGCAGTGCAGTGGGTGTTAATACGCATTTTAGATTATCATTATGCGCTATGTCACGCCGGTTGTCATCTTACTGGTCCGCGGTCGCCGGTCGAAGGGTCGTTTCTCAGTGGTCATCATAATGGATCATTCGCGGCTTTTTAGATTTAGATCAATGATAATTTTTTTAGAAACTCAAAATCGAGGTTTCGGGGGGGGGGGGGGGGTCGCCCCCCCCCCCACGCAACCCCCCCCCCCCCCCCCCGTGGCTACGCCACTGGTCACCCTGGCAGCCATCTTGAAAATATATCGATTCTCACTTAAACGCATACTGTAATATTCAAGAATAGTTTTTGAGAATTCCAATACCAGTTTACTCGGACCGATTTATCATTTGATAAAGGGGATGTTAATGGTGGAGCGTTATGCCTAATTTTTGACTTTTTTCTGCAAAAGAATTAATCCCCCACCAAAAAATGAATTCCATGCTTTCGAGTAGAAAATAGCTTCAAAATGATAGTAATGAGATAATCAAGTTTATATTTCCAAATTTAAATCATCTTAAAACTATAATCAAGATTTAGTATCTTTTATAGATGAGTGCTTGAAAGTTGTATTTTAACATATTTAAGTTTTCCTTCTGAATGTACATTTCCTGTCCAAAACTTGCTTTTTATTTTGCCACTTTGTCTTTCGTTTAGAATATTAGTATATTATTTCAAACTGATAGTGTATTTAAAACACTGGCATACGTATGAGCGAATCTTTAATTAATATCACCAATTAAATAATAAAGAGTTTGTAATATTTAACAAGTGACTGTTGTGATGTGGGACATGACATTCATCCGAGGGGCGCAAAGCACCAGAGGCGAAGCTGCATGAGGGTGCTATACGCCAAATCACAGCAGTCAATAATTGTTTATGTTACATCGTGTAAAAAACTCTTACTATGCAGGATATACGAAATCAATATGGTGTATCATTTTGACCTTTTAAATCCGTGAGCTTTCCTTCCAGAGACTGAGCGGTTGCAGTTCTCAGTCGTTAGACGCGTGGGTCAGTCACACGCGCGCGCAACGCATAGGTAATTTATATTCAACGCAGTGTATATGAGGTACATGTATGTTACAAGCAACGCAGTGTAAACAGTAAACAATTGTTGACTGCTGTGATGTGGGATATGACGTTTTGAACACCAGAGGGGCGCATAGCACCCGAGGCGAAGCAGAGGGTTATACCTCTGTCTTGGATTCTTTGGATTTTGATGTGAAAATAACGAAAACAAAAAGCAGACTAGAAATGTGTTTGTGGACAAACACAAGCTGTTTCGGATATTTGAAATACTCTGTGCACGTGATGAACACTGATGAAGTCACTTCGAATGTCAAAAGTCAATCAGACAAACAGTGCCAAAGTACATGGTTTGAAGAAAAACGAGTACATAAAACCTATGGGGAAATTGCGTCTTTAATGTGAAGTAACCTTACACCTGATAATGTCACGATCACGAATTTCTTTTAGGACCATCTGTGGATGGTAGTCTAAGTGTGTACGAAGTCTAACGTTGATCGGATTTACGAAAGTGCCAAAGTAGAATGTTTTAAAACGTGTACAAACCCTATGGGGAAAAATACATCTTTAATGTGACGTAACCCAACACCTGATGACGTCTTGATCACAAATTTCTTCTAGGACCATATGTGGGTGATGGTCTAAGTGTGTGCCAAGTCTAAAGTACATCGAATTAACGAAAGTGCCTAAGTGGAGTGTTTTAAAAGTGTACAAACCGTATGGGAAAAATACATCTTTGATGTGACGTAACCTGACACCTAAATGACGTCACGATCACGAATTTCTTCCAGGACCATCTGTGGGTGATGGTCTAAGCATGTATCAAGTCGGAGGTCGATCGGATTGACGAAGAGGCCAAAGTGGAGTGTTTTAAAACGTGTACAAAACATATGGGGAAAAATGCATCTTTAATGTGACGTAACCCGACACCTGATGACGTCATGGTCCCGAATTTCTTCTAGGACCATTTGTGGGTGGTGGTCTAAGTATGTACCAAGTCTGAAATCGATCGGATTTTGAAAAGTGGCAAAGTGGACTGGTGGAAGAAACGTGTGTTAAACCTATGGAGAAAAAGTCTGAAAAAGGAGAAAAAAAAAATGTGTTTGTGGACAAACACAAGCTGTTTCGGATATTTGAAATACTCTGTGCACGTGATAAACACTTGATGAAGTCACTTCGAATGTCATCTGCCAAGAGAAAAGTCAATCAGACATATAGTGCCAAAGTATGCATTGAAGAAAAACGTGTACAAAACCTATGGGGAAAAATGCATCTTTAATGTGACGTAACCTGACACCTGATGACGTCACGGTCACGAATTTCTTCTAGGACCATCTGTGGGTGGTGGTCTAAGTATGTACCAAGTCTGAAATCGATCGGATTTAAAAAAGTGGCAAAGTGGATTGGTGGAAGAAACGTGTGTTAAACCTATGGAGAAAAAGTCTGAAAAAGGAGAAGAAAAAAAAAAAAAAAAAAAAAAAAGAAAAAAAAAATCTTAACGAAAACAAGAGCTGTTTCGGTGTGTCACCGAAACAGCTAAAAACACAACAATCACGACAATCGAACGTCAACTCACATACAGCACATGTCGTGTTCTTGAAACAGCTGATCGTCTGCTACTTCGCTGCTCCCACTGATCTGTGAAAACGTGGTGAAAATAGCATGGGTACCAATGATACATGCGTTTCACACCGTACGCACCGTACGTACAAAGTCATAGCACACTCCCTGTAGGGATCAGTGTGCCATGACTTGACACGTGATCGTTCTAGGCCAATGAAAATGCAGTATTCAAGACAGAGGATAACAACAATTCTTGTAGACAGAACACGTGGTCGATCTAGACCACTGCTATTGCAGTACCGAAGACATGTAACACACACGTTTGTAACACCGGACGCATAACACCCAAGGCGAAGTGTTTTTTTTTGCCTGGAGGGGATAGAAACGATATATCCCGCATCACAGCAGTCGGCTGTTGCCGTAGATACAATCGCTACGGTAAAACAAGAGAACCATATCTTTTGATATAAATTCTTTAGGGAATAAATATGGACTTGGTCGGTTTTAAACAACAGGGGCCTGGACGCGGATAATGTTATCTGCAGTTTTACGCATGCCTTCTGGAAAATACTTTATTCACGAGTCAGCCATATTAAAATAATTGAAAGCCAGGTAAACGTTTCATTTTTGGATCTTGCGAGTGGAAATGAAAGC